AAAAATGCAAAATAAATACATAAAATAAAAAGAGTTGGTTGTAGCTAGCATAGCAGAGGGATTTCACTGAGGAATACTTCGGATTTCTTGCAGAGAAAATAGTGCCCTAGTTGATGAGAAGGGAGGGCCTAGGTTCCAGAAAGTATGAATGAGGACTTTCAAGTACTGGGACTAGACATAAAGACAAGCAGGTTTGGCTGAAGCAGTGGGCGTGGACTGAAGCACAGAGGATAAAGCCAAGAGAGCAAGCTCAGCGTGGGAAAGCTAGCTCTTGTTAGAAATGCCACTTTAATTTCACAGGATTACTGAAACCATGTTTGCCTTATCAAATATTTCCAGTTATATTAACTTGTAATTAAATGGAATTAATTTCTTTCCACTGCTTTAAACACTGGGTGCAGTGATGAGCCTCCCAGATGCAGAGTGGGCTCATAAAGCGTCACAGATTATAGGCAGTCTGGCACTGAGCACTACCAGTAGATACAGAGATCAGGAATTCTGAAACCGCATGGAGTATACTCAGCTGCAGCCTGCGATTGGCAGGGTGGGACAAGATTTAAGTTAAGGTTTAAAAAAATCATGAATTGCCTCTGTCTTTCATCAGCATCATATAGTCTCCCTATTTCAGATTTCTCTAGTGTTACAAGGTTATATATTTCTGTGTAACAGACTTCATTTTAGTAATGGTTGGCAATGTATTATGGTACAGATTTAGACATCAGAGTAACCCAAATTCAATGTAATTGCTGGAGTACTCTCTCTAATTACTCTGCACATCATACTTAAGTATGAAAACATGAAATATTTTCACAAAATAATTTTAATAGTTCTTTCAAAATCAGTGGAAAAAGTGAGTGAAATGTTTTACTTTGAGTCTAATACTTCAGGAGTTCAAATCCACAAGAAATACCATGGATTTGAATTGCTGCATCTGGAGGCTCTTAGCTCTGCGCTTCTTTGGTTTCTCTCTGAATTTAGCTTTCTGCTGTGACCTCCAGATATGCTATCCATTTCTTTCTACCTCCTACTCTTCCTAGGTTATCTTTGCCTTTACCTGTTCCTTAGTGCTAGACCTAAACATCAGAATCATTCAGGTCACCTTTTTGTTTGGTATGCCTCCTAGGAGAAACAGTCATTTTTTGAAGCTACAAGTCTGAGATTCATTTGTACCTCTCTTCACCCAGTGTTTTCCTTTCCTTTCTATCACATACCAGCTCAGCTTAGTTAACCCAACATTTGAATCTGGCTTAAAATCTCTCTTCAAGGTACTCCTTTTTAAAAAACACTTTATTATTTTTATTTTATGTGTGTGAGTGTATTGCCTGCATGTATGTAAGTGCACCTGTGTTGTGCAGTGCCTGCAGAAGTAAAAGGGGGTGTCAGATCCCCTGGAACTGAATTTATGGATGGCTGTGAGCCACCCTGTGGGTACTGGGAATCCAACCCAGGTCCTCTGCAAGAGCAGTCAGTGCTCTTAACCGCTGAGCCATCTCTCCAGCCCTTCAGACACTTCTTTTTACTACCCTTCCCTCACAGGCTTTGGTCATGCTCTGGTCACTTCTCTGAGCACTTCTGGCCAGAAAATGTCACCACAAATACAGAAATGATTGTGTTTACATAGTAAGTAGAGCAGCAACATCCTGACAAATATATGCTATTTTATTTAACTCCTTTTTTTAAATTAAACTTTTAAAAATTTTTTATTTATTATCTTTATTTTATGTGTATGCGTGTATTGCCTGCATGTAGGTAAGTGCACCTGTGTTGTGCAGTCCCCACAGAAGACAGAAGAGGCTGTCAGATCCCCTGGAATTGGAGTTGTGGAAGTTGTTAGCTGCCATGTGGGTGCTGGGATTCGAACCCGGGTCTTCTGCAAGAACAACCAGTGTTCTTAACTGCTGAGCCATCTCTCCAGCCCCAGATTTAACTCCTTTTTTTTTTAGCATGACCTCATGCTAAATGTTCCATAATGTACATGATAATGCATTAGGAGGTGGGCAGTTTTGCATATATTAAAAAATGGTATCATAAACAGAAACCAGTATAGGGTTAAATACTCCAAAGAGCCAGCACGAAACAGGCAGCATGTGGAGGGAGCAGTGCCCTTAAGTTGCTGCCACTTCTCCATGTCTCACCATTCTGTGCTTGTGCTGTTTTCTTCTCTCTGATGCTTCATAATTGTTGCTGGAAAGCTATCAAAAATGCATGATTAGATTGAATACAATTTTTTAGTATATATATATAGTTATTTATGGAACAAATAACTTAAGAAATGTTGTTTAAAACTTTTGGGTAAGATTCAGAAGACATAAGGGGTAGAGCAGGCAATCCATTGCAAGGCAGGCTATAAAAGACCTTTAAAAAGTCTTCATCTGGGCCTTGAAGGGAGTGAGACCAAGGAGTTGCCTGAGCACCAGAGTACATGCTGATAGCTATAAGGGATTTCTTGGCTCTGAAGTGAGGTGAACAAAGACAACTTTTGGCCAGACCAAACAAAGCCTGTATAGACACAGACTAGAAAAATCATGAGTGGTTTTCTCTGTTAACTGGAGGACCCTGGACAGTCCCCTGCTACTGAAGGTTTTGATCAGAGGAGTGGCAGGTTTGATTCATTTTTAGAAAGAAGTTCCTGATGACAGAGTCAGAGCTTTCATGAGCCCTGCCCTGCCTTCCGTTTTCCCTATCACCGTGGGCAATTTGGCAAAACAGGGCTGATAGTGTAGATCCCAGCTCAAAGTTTAAGATGACTTCCAGGTACAGAGTCCAGCTTTCTACCATAACTTTGAGGAAACTTGCTGCTTCCCCCATCTTCAACCACATGGCTCCCTCTGCAGAGAGAGACTCTCCCTGTCTATCAAAGTCAGAACCTCCACTACTCCTTATTTCATTACTTTGCTTTAGGGTTTTTGTTTCGTTTTTGTTTTGTTTTGTTTTGACACTAGCAGCAAAAGCTGTATATTTATTCATTGATTTAATTCCCTGTGCTGCACCAGATACCTGATATGTGTTCAGTGTTTGTTGACAGAATGTGACCCCAAACATCTTCCTCCTCCTTCCTCCTTCTCTTACTTCCTTTATCATATCATCCCCCTTCTCGTTGTCTTGTTTATACTTCAAAGAACTCATAGTTCCTCATTTCCCAGGATACCATACATACATATGTATATAATATATACACACACACACACACACATATACACATACACATACGCATACACATGAATGGTTCTCAAGCAGTTGTATCTCCTATAATACCTTTTGATACAGTAGAATATCTTTCTCATCTGCCCAGGATAGGGTGGGTGTAAATAAGTATTGGTTAAGTCATTAATTAACCAGTAGAGAGAAAATTATACAATGAGATAGATCCACATTATAAATAAAGGTTGAAATTTGGTTGGTTAATTGAGAAATGCAGTAATTAATTTTGACTTAAATTTGATTATATGCATATGATTGGGGTAAATAAGTAGATAAACAATCATTAATTTCTGTTAAATATGTAATTATACAAACACTTTAGAGAAAATACTAATTTTCATCCACATACCACTTTACCTTTTTCACAGAAATAGCATGAATTCTATTAAAGAAATAGACATGTATTGAAGAAATTACTTGTTAGTGAAAGTATAAAATACTTGTGAAAATTCTGAACTTTTATCATTTTAACAAGAAATATGTCTTCTCCACTTATATTAGTGAAAATATAAATTATCTAGAAATGTTTTGATTGAATCAATTTAATAGCACTATATCCAGACCAGTTTCAACTTTATATGACAGTGTCCTTTCATTTGATGTGTCAAAAATGGCTCTGGTGCGTAAATCTTTTGGAAAGATGTAGAAGTGTGGTCTAAAGAATTATTTTCTTTAATATTCTTTGGTTTTCTAATATTTCTCAAATTTTAAAAAACTTGTTTATTTATTTTTGTGTGTTGTGTGTGTGCACGCATGTGCAATTGTGCATGCTGGCAGACCACAGCTTGCCTGTAGATACCAGAGGTCACTTTCAGGAGCCCATTCTCTCCTTCTACCATTTGGGTCTGGGGAATTGAACTCAGCTCACTAGGCTTGGCAGTAGACTTCTTTATCCTCTGAGCCAGCTCACCAACCCAACTAATATCCTCTGTCTTTCAGCATGTGTGTCTGATGATCTATAAATTCACTTAAGTTACTAATTTTTACTTTGAAATCTTGGATAAGGTCTTTTGGTAAAGCTTTTGAACTCAGGTTCCTCTTCTACTCACGGACATATTTTCCCCAAATGAAAATCATACTAAATTGTTAAGGTGTCCTTGGACTTTCTTATTGAGACACAAGCTATGAAAGCTAATAATTATGTAGAGTTAGGCCTGGTGTGAAAGTAGAAATTGCCCCAATATTTCACATGCAGCAAATAGGAGTAACTAGTTGAGTATATTCTTGTTTTGGTATTTGAGGGCTGTATGAAATGGTTGGAGGACCCTCTTCAGGTTCTAGAAGGTCTGGGAAAGCCGCAGCTGAGTGGGGTGGGAACAAGAACATGGAAGAAGCAAACGGACCTTTGCTCTCTGCTCCTGTCTATAGAAGTGATGCTGAGGTTCTTTTTGGAAGACAGCAGAAGAAGCATGATTTCTATATAATGAGCTAAAGAGATCTTTTGTTTTCATTCCTTTAACAATGCCTAACTATTTGAGGGAGAGGCAAATTCTAGTAGACTTGTTCATTGGGAATTGCTACACGCCATATATGAAGTATAAAGAAGCATTTTTGTAAGTTGTATTTAATGTTTTCCTAAGATGAGTTTGTAAGCTTTTTAATCACACATCAGTGAAGAATTTTACCTTTTCCTTGTTTTTCTTAATTAAAATATGAAAGGAAGATTAGGCAAGACTTATGTAAACGTGAAGTAGATCTTTAAAGTTCATTATATGAGAAACTTGAGCTGTTATAATGCAACAGGCATTTTTGCCTTTTGTTTTCTAAAGGATTTTTATGGTATTTTATTTGTTTTTCAGAGTAAAGCCTGTCCCTCCTGAAGGAATCAAGTCCAATCCCTCCAAGCGACATAGAGACCGACTGAATACAGAGTTGGACCGCTTGGCCAGCCTGCTGCCCTTTCCACAAGATGTTATTAATAAGCTGGACAAACTCTCCGTTCTTAGGCTCAGTGTCAGCTACCTGAGGGCCAAGAGCTTTTTTGACGGTATGATGGCAGGGTTTAATTTTCTACCAATAACTCACAAAATACTAATGTAAAAATGGCTTTTTTTATGTTGATGACTGTAAAAATTAGCCATGTGTGAAATATTTTATTACTGTAGAAAAAAATTAAGTGATAAAGCAAGATTCATAATTATTCCTGAATTAACTTTCTCATTTCATTTATTAAACAGACGTAGCTATTTAAATGGTATATGGTATCATTCTTTGAAAATGATATATTTGGAAGTTTCCTCCAATTTATACATGTTTAAGTTCCTCTTGTTCCAATTCAAGTTTTTAAAATTTCTCTTCTAGAAGGAAAGAATAAAATACACATCTTAGACTGTGATTGGGGCTGGGTTTATGACTTAGTAGATAAGAGTGCTTGTTGTGCTATATTTTCCATTTTTATCAATGTCAATTCATTTAGCCTTTCAAAATAATACAGATTTCTACTCCTTCATATTAATGTGTATTTGCCTCAAGAAAATGTAGTTAAGGGGCTGGAGAGATGGCTCAGCAGTTAAGAACATTGGCTGATCTTGCAGAAGACTCAGGTTCAAATCCCAGCACTCACATGGTAACTAACAACTGTCTGTAACTCCAGTTCCAGGGGATCTGATAACCTCTTCTGTCCTCCATGGGGATTGGACAACATGGGTGTACTTACCTACATGCAGGCAATACACGCATACACATTAAAAATAAATGAAAAAAAAGAAAATGTAGTTAAAATATTTTATTACTGGAAAGAGACTTCAGTGTAGAGGCCACTAGTGCTGGATTCCATTCTCCATGCTGCCACTGACACACTGGCTTTGACCGTGCCAAGGAGCATCCTGTCCTCAGCCATAAACTCAGCTGTGAATGTTGGATATGGAGCTAAGTGTTAGTATTTCATCATCACAGCGTGTTTAAAATCAAATTCCTGTTTGAATATGATGTTTCAGTGCATTTTATCACATAAAACAATTCTTTAGTTGTTTCTTATGTGGGTGCTGAGAATTTGAACTCAGATCTTCATGCTTCAAACAGCAAAATCTGTTACCTGCTGAGCTTTCTCCCCGACTCCTAAATTTTCTTCCATATTTATACCAAAAATAGATTCCTTAAGGAATATGCTTTTCAAAATGTCATTTTCTTTTTACAAACTGTAGTAAAGGAATGAATGGGTCTCTGTGGCCTGTGTAGATGCTTCTGAAACTTCATTGTGTTCCTGTGTCACCTAGGGGTTACGTTCAGATGCAGAGGCTTTCTACTTCTAACAGGCTCTAAGATGTTGCTGTCGATGCCAGTCTAGGTTATTAATAGTCACCTGGACAGCACGTTGATAGAATACTTAAGTTGGTCAGGGATTTTGGAGAATTTCAAAGCAGTTCGTTTCCTTTTAGATTTGTGTTTCTGTGATTTGATATATTTGGTTTGAGAAACTTTTTATTTACTTGTTTTTATATTTTTTCTTTTGAAAAAACGCCATGTAGTTTAATAGTTGTGGTTTATCTGCATACACTTACTCCTGAGGTGATTATTTCATGGAAGGTTGTCTATTTCAAAGTTTTTTTAATAGATGGACTTTCTCTGATCATGTAGAAAGTTTTAAAATTTCATCTTGAGGAGCCCTTCGACAGAGGTTCGTGCTGCATCTGTGTGTGTCTGCTGTAGTCCTTTCCTAATAGAGCTAAAGCTAGAGCCCAGAGTTGCAGAGTCCTTACATTGTTTTCATGACTGTCTCTTGGTTCCTCCCTTTTTCAAAAAGCCTCAAGGATTCTGCTGTAGAGCTCTAGCTGTTAAGAATGTTGTCTCCAATCAAACAGCAGCAATAGTACCTGGGTGCTTCAAGAACCGCTGGTTCTTGAACCTCACCCTGAACCTGTGAGATCTTTCACTGATTATGGGTAGCTGCGTGTTAAGGTTTGGAGCCAGTGCTGCTGCTTGTAACCTTGAGTTCATTCCCAGCACCTGGAATATCTGATCCTGTACTTAACTGCTTTACTGTGTATGGCACAACATTCCCTGACACAAAAGATGCCTCTGCCCTTAGTTTGCATGTGGACGGCAGGGGACATTATTCCCCTGGGAAAGATTTACTGACTCAAATCGTTTTACCTTTCCATTTCTTGCTCCTTTATAATGGAGACTCAACATTTTACGAAAAACAGTGTGTGTGTGTGTGTGTGTGTGTGTGTGTGTGTGTGACCTTGAGTTCATTCCCAGCACCTGGAATATCTGATCCTGTACTTAACTGCTTTACTGTGTATGGCACAACATTCCCTGACACAAAAGATGCCTCTGCCCTTAGTTTGCATGTGGACGGCAGGGGACATTATTCCCCTGGGAAAGATTTACTGACTCAAATCGTTTTACCTTTCCATTTCTTGCTCCTTTATAATGGAGACTCAACATTTTACGAAAAACAGTGTGTGTGTGTGTGTGTGTGTGTGTGTGTGTGTGTGTGTGTGCGTGCACCTGTCTACCTGTCTATGTTTGTAAAAAAACACACTTTGTCCGCTGTTTGGAAGTAAAGAAACAGAACTAAAGCTTCTTAAAATAACCAGTGTGCTATGGAAGCACTACATAATTACCTTACAGACAGGTATGTATGTGTGTGTTTACATACACAGGCATGATTAGATGCATGTCCTGTTACTCAAGATATCAAGATACCTTATTAGCAGTGTTGTAGTGCGACGGGGCTCATCATAGAGTTCTTGCTTATTAAAGGTATTTTTCAGCGCTCCATTAATTAGTTGGATTTTTATTTGGATTCACTGTGTTTGTCTTATTACTTATTTGTACCAATTCTCATCAGGTATATATTCTTAATTTGAGATTCTTCACCTTGCTGTTTTCAGACTTCAGTGTGCATAAGACTTAGCTGGAAAGTTTGTTAAAACACACATTCTAGGACAGGCCTCCTATAGGATGATTCAGTCAGTTTTCTGTAAAACTCAGGAATCAGTATTTTAGCAAGTATGTTACAGAGGTTGTGGTGGTGTTTTACCCTGCCTTCAGTTGTGCCCAGAACTTCTTTTCCAAAATTATTTGTGTTGAGGCTGGAAAGATGGCTCAGCAGTTAAGAGCACTGATTTCAGATTTGGTTCCCAGCACCCACATGGTAGCTAACAGTGGGCAACAGCGTCAGTCCTGGAGGATCTGGTACTCTCTTTTGGCCTGTGCGGCATTGCATGACATGGGTGTACTTACATGCATGCAGGCTAAGTACTCATACACATAAAATAATAATTAAAAAATATATTCGGCTGGGTGTGGTGGCACACGCCTTTAGTCCCAGAACTCGGGAGGCAGAGGCAGGCGGATTCCTGTGAGTTTGAGCCCAGCCTGGTCTACATAGCAAGTTGCAGGCCAGCTGGGGCTACAGGGAGACCATACCTCAAAAAAAGATCAGCATATATTATGTTGATCTTTTTTTGAGGTATGGAATATATGTGTTTGCTTCACTTTTGAAAGGAAAAGCACAAATATCTGAAAGTTTAGGAAGAATGTAAGTGTGTACTTGGATTTTAGTGGTGTGCATACATCTTGACCAGTACCTTGGCCTGTTCAGTATAGAAATATAGAGCTTGATGGAAGGTGAGGGAGAAAATACATCAAAACCAGGCATGATCCCATTGTTTTTTCCGCACCATCATCAGTGGACAGTGGAATATTTCAGACACCCGAAAAATAATTAAATCCCCTATGAACTGCACCAGGACTAAATGTAAACCAGGAGACCTAGAGCATGCTGACAATGCTAGGGATCTATCCACAGTCCCACTGTCCCTCTGTGAGGGCAACAGTATAGTGTAGCGAAGGGAAACTCGAAATGAATAGCAGGATACAAATGGGGGGTGTGCAAGTTCCTGCGGAAAGAACAATATAAACGAGTAATCATACAATCTTGTTAGAAAGGAAACTCAAGTTCTACTATAACAATAGATATTTTTTCAAGAAAATAAATCTATTCCAAGCTTAAATAATCCAACTTGAATTGATCTTCTCAAACTTTGGAACCATGACTGTACTGTTACTATTGTCTGGAAAGCAGCAGTTGAATGGTAGGTACAGCAATAATATCTATTCATTTGTAATTGATTGAAACCCAAGAATTTAACTTTTAAATACTTTATGAAACTTAGTCATTTTTAGGTATGGTAAAGTTTGAAGCAGTTTATTTGATGCTATTGTCACATGTGTGAGATGAAAATATTAATAAACATAACTTTTAAAACAAACTCCTCCATCCTTACATCCTCCATCATATCAGAGTCACCTCTGTAATTGTGAGGCATACATTTAATTTCTGGAAAAGAAGGCTGGAAGCAAGGAAAAAATGATTTTGTCTAGGTAAGTACTGAGCCTGACATAACTGAACCTGCCATCTGAGTTCCTAATGTCTTGACGCTGACAAGTCACACTGGAAAGTAGTTTTCTGGGTATTTTAAAAACTCAATGATAAGAGGAGGACACCTGAGTCTTCATTCCTTATATATGCTTAAAATAACCACCAATTTATGAAGTAGACTACATGCTAGAATGCTCTAAATTCATGAAGTCTAAAAGTGCTACGGGAAGAGAGGATGACGCTTGCTATTAGACGTGAGGGTCTGACATGTATTGGTGTCATGTCAGATGTGATGTAGATGTGAGGATCTTGCAACACTTTTTGACTTAACTGTCTGTCGTAGATCTTCATTGACTTTACTTAACCAAACTGAAAGTCATGTGCTTTTCTTTTCCCTTCTTTTGACAGATACTTTAATTGTTCACGAGACTTTGAAAAGAGTTATTGTGTTTATTCATCTTCTGAGGACATATTTTTCTTAATTTTAGCTCTATTTTGGTATCTTTTTAAACCATATTATTATTTTATTTATTCATGTACATGTGCCATGATCAAGCTTGAACAAACAATAAAAATTAGTTAAATAATAGCTCTTAAGTATTGAAATTTTAAGAAGACTAATGGATTTTCACATCTGTTTTTTTCATTCACAAGAA